TGATAAAAAAATAAGGTCACGTTTAAGCCCTGTTAATTTGAAATGCATGCGTTTGCAAAACAAACGGAAGGAAAAATGTTGGACAAATGAATGAAATTCATTTGAGCATGAATAAATGGTCCCGTGCATTGATGCCACCGGCCGTTGTCGTCATTGTCATTCCTGCATTAAACGTTGCCGTGCAACCGAACACACATTTCATCCTAAATCACTGTACGCTTTTGTGTTTCAATTTCGCCTCTTTTTATTTCTCTAGCTTTCGCTCTCATTTTTTTTTTTTGTCTTCGTTGAGCTCCACTTTATTTTCCGTTGTCTTTCCCGCCAATTTCGGAATGCTTGTTTTTTTTTTGTCTGCGTATTTTTACATTTCAATCAATTGACGCATCAATTTCTTCTTTTGTGTGTGCATTTATGTGTGTAGGGTCGGTTACTTTTTTCGCATTGTCGAAAATACCGAAAAATAAAAGCCATGGCTTGTTGTTGCCCTTTTTTAGCTTTGATGAAACGCTCAATTTATTCACGTCTTATTTCTGGTGTTTCATCCAGCATTTGATTGTTATTTGTTGTCTACTTTTGTAAATAACAATTTTCATCTCTATCTCCGAGTGATAGGCAACCATTTGTGCCTTGTTGTTGATTCAGTCCGCTGGATGAGTACATCGAATGTGACAAAATGAGTTTGTCAATTTAATGAATGATTCCGATCGATTGGTCAAATTGGCGATGCGTAGGTTTTTGCTTGACGCACTTCAAATTCGTCGACTCATCACATCGAAATGGGGATGAAAAAAAAAAAGAATGACACGCGCACATAACAAGAAGTTCTGTTTCCGTAACAACATCGTTACATAAGACGGAAATCGTTGAAAGCTATTATAAAAAAGAGAGCCAACGACAGATTAAAAAAAAAGAGGATTGGGTACTAAAAAGCAAATCGCTGTCTAATGAGCGATTTGAACTAAGGCAACAAAGTGCCATACAATTGTTTTCCCATTTTCCACACAGAATGAAGGTAACGACGATAAATGGCATAAACTCCAAAATGTTGGCTCCGCGTCGATTAGAAATTGAATTACAAACAAATTATCGCGCATACTTCCATTGCATGCCATTTGCTTGAAACAGGCAATTATATTCAGGCATCGTTTCTTTTTTGTCATACTTCAAATGTTGTCTCAAGTATTATGATGAGAACGTGCGATGCCAAAGGCATCTAGGTAAATCACTAGTAAGATTGAATAAGAATTTTAATTCACTATTTGCTGTTGCAAACACAAGTTTTAAAGTCGCTCTTGATAACGATGGAAGAGAAGAGATGATGAATTAAGATTGATGACTCGACCATTCAAGATGTAGATTTTTAAGGAAAACATTGATTACATCAAATCCAGATGCTACAATAGAAAATGAATGAAACGATTCTATTCGAATGAGAACCAAACAAACCCAGGTGAAGGTTTCTCCTAATTCAAATTAGGAATGTCATTGTTCAGCATTTTGATGTGAAGATGTGCATTTTTAATGATGTGATTCGAGAGAGTGAGATATGAGAAACGACAGATGAATGAAGATGAAATGAAGAAAAAATTGCACTTTCTGAAATTGCATTAATTCGTTCGGACAGACGGTTTGATCGTGAAACAATCTATTATGCATACGAAAATTTATGTGGAAAAATCCACTGGCAAAAAGGTGAAGTCAATTTTATATTGGATATGACATGAATCTCAATGCCATTCCATTCTTCGGAAGCGAAGAAAGCCTGGCAACGAAAAAAAAAACCATTGCCAAAAGTCGGCTGTATCGTAATCCCGAAAAAGTGTATTGTTATAACATCTATCGTTGTAATATGGCACATACTACATATAAAATACATCACACACGGTAATAATTTATCCAGGACAGACATTCATTTGAAATTCGTCCGCAGGAAGAGAAACGTCATCTTCACTTTTGCAATTCACTCTTTATCCGATCCGAATCCAGTTCAAACACTCACTGTTTCACTCGATTCTTCTCTGTCTTTAACGTGGCGATGCGGTTGTGGAAATGAGATAAGTCGTTCATTGTTGGCATTCTCTGTACCCGAATGCCGTAAAGATTTCACTCTCTCTCTCTATTTTATAACTACCCCCTGATTTGCCAAAAACTCATATATAAGATAAAAATTTATCGCCGTCACATTATTGCGCATAGATGCTTCGCATAATCATACACGTAGATGTTTCAAGTACTGTTTATCTTTGAATGCTGGAGACATTACACGTGTGCATTTCAATGACAAAGTGAATCGTTCATTTTTGACGGAGTTTATTTCTTCCTACGATGCTCTTTTATATTCTCTTTTGCCATTCCACATTCAATTTACATCGAACATGTCCATTTTACGTGTTTCGTTCGGTGCACAGATAAAATGTCAAAAATGAATTCGTTTCATGGATAATTTCATACAATAATCATCTTGACATATTTGAATTGCTCTCTTTCGCTCTCTGATGATCTGATCTATTTTATTCGCTTTGACTATTTTTGTTGCCCAGATTTTATCAAATGTTCTTTCATGCGGTTTGCATCGATTCGCATAAAGCTCAAAGAAAAATATGATCCACTTTTCTCTTTTTCTAATTCAATCTCTCTCTCTCTTCATTATCTTGCTCTCTTGAATAGACCGAGTTCCGCGCTCGCTATGCGTGTTTATGTTGTACATTAGTTTGAATGTATACAAAATGCGAGATAACAATTGAGTCAAAACGATTTGATAATTGCGTACATGTTTTCTTATCTGGAGATTCATTGAGTTTTCGTAGGAGTATGACAGAAAGTTTTTCGTTATTAAAATTGTGTTCGTCTGCCATTGTTTGTCACGAAAGGAAGAAAGATAGAAGAAGAAAGCGGTTAAATCGAGAGTGAGATGCATGTGCACATACATTTGAAAATGTCGTCAATTTGTTAGGGCCGCTCAAGTCATTGTCAAAATCCGTAACATTGTATTTATACATATTCTGTACAAAGAAAACCGGATCAACACACACATGAATACACAATTGAACTAATGATGGTTATTATTTTCGACGATTTTGAAATGTGATGATAATTATATTGCACAAGAAGTTTTAGTTTATTGGATGGATTCAACTAAGGAAAACGATAAAAATTCGAAAACAGAATGAGACAGAGAAACCGAGCGGTTTTTGTCATTTGTCACATTAATAAGCAGGAAATGAATAGAAATACAAAAGGGAGAAATATAAGGGATTGTGCAATGGATGCTGGTTTGAAAGAAAAACAACTTATTTTCACGGCATAAATATGTGAAAATTTGCCATGGATGGATTAGGATTTTTGGCAATTAATTACAAGATTATAACCCAAAAATACGGTCAATCCACTAAATAAGTAGGACAAATTGGGTTTTATCTACAATTCATTTTTCGCTTGTGTCTGTCGCATTTTGTGTCACGCTTCCATAGCGAATCGCTTTTGTCATTTTTCTTCGAGCTTAATGGTGCTTGATCCAAATGTATGCTTTCATCTTGTGCAAAGACCAGCAAGAAAATCAAACAGAAAAACCATAACACAAATAGACAAAAGGGGAGAACGAACCATAGAAACCATACCATTCGAACATCAAATATTAATGTGAAACTTCTTCAGTTTATGTTTGGTGAGATAACAAAATAATTAATACTTGATTGAATTGAAAAGAAAGCGGGTAAGCGATTTGGCATCGAATATAAAAGACCTACATGTTATTTCTATGCTCTTTTTTTGACTGAAACTTTTTCGATCGAAAATGAATTAAATTACAATCGTCGTATTTCTTCAGTCTCACTCTCACTGTGAAATAAATGACTGCACGCAAAAGACCTCAAACATAAGTGGTATGATGCGAGTTTTTCTGTTTAATCTCATCTCAAGCGTGTCTCAAATTTTTTGTTTCTTTTTCGCTGTGTGAATGTGTGTGCGCTTCAGCATCGCATGTCTGTTTTCATATAGTTTTGTCATCGTCAAAAAAAAAAAACAAACATATCTGCCTAAAGTAGCCTTTTGTGGCGCCTTTGTTAGCTTTTGTTCTTTGCCCAATTCAATTCCACGTTTTTATTATTCTTTTTTTTCTTCTTTCTTTCGTCCATTGTGCTATTCCATCGACGTCAACTAATGTGGATATTTTCATTTTTCATTCTGTTACGTTTGAGGCATTAGAATAACAAGCAATAATAAATACGGAAAAAAAGAAGTATTCAAACGCCAGAAATCGAGAAATAGCAACAAAAAAGCTTTTGCGTTATCAATTTGACGCACACGCCAATTGAGAGGAAAATAGATTCGTTCTAACAAAAAGAAGTGTGAAAAAAAAACATTCCAAACAACACAATAGATTGTATGTGAATGTATAGAACAAAGCAAGCGCACTTTCTTTGACCAAAAGCAGTTGCCGATTTGTGTTTTTGCTGCATGTGTGTGTATGCTTACGTAGCACTGTATTGTCATTAATTGATACAAGCAAAAAGTAGAATAAATGTTGAGTATTTTATGTCCATCGGATTACAATGCATTGCAAATTGAAAACAAACATGAACCAAAGAAAAAGCGTAAAAGCTTATCTCTACACGGATTTCTTTTTTTGGAAACATTTGCATACGAGTACCAATGACGGAATACAGAGAAAAAGCAGATTCATTTGCAGCACTTATCTTCTATTCTTGTGCGAAATGATACGTTCAATTCAATTGCAACGTGAATTTCTTGCCTCTTTTTGTTGTCTTTCTAACTTTTTTCGACGAGACCTTTGTGTCAGAATGTATAGGACATCTATTCATCAAGAGCACACTTGGCAACAATTGATTACATACACTCTGTTTTCATCGTACATTTTTTTTTGCTTTTTTTTATTTCGAAATGAATATAATTTTGACGTAAATGATTCCATTTGTATTTATTTGTGGGATTTTCAACTTCACAACCATTCTCTAACAAAAAATGTTTTCACTTGATTTCAGGGTGATTCGCCATTTGGTAAGACAGAAGCTTATATTAAACTGGAGCAACTTGGAGAGGGTTCATACGCAACGGTCTTCAAAGGATACAGCAAGTAAGTTGAATATACAGAGATTGTGTTTTTTCCTTCTTCTCCCGTTTTACAATGTGCTTAGCCCATTTATCGGCACAAGATTTATATGTGTCGATGTCATCATTTTTGTCGTGTGCGTTCGCTTTTCTTTCTTGTTTCTCGAATAAATCATGTAATGGAATGAAATATTACCGCAAAATTCAATATAAATATCCGTGTTTTGCGGTATTTGGCGTATGCACAACAAATTTCGACCAAAGAATTTCACGTCCATTCTATTGATTTTCATTGGCGTCTTTTTATCATTATTTTTTTTTCTTTGTTTATTTTCTTTCGTTCTCTATCCGATGTGCTTCACCTGCACATTTTGCTTTGAAAAAAAAAAAAAAAAAAAATACCACATCGAACAGAAATGGCATACATATTTTATCTAGCGTAGGTTAGCGTGAATTTCCGTGCATTTTCTTAGCAAAACACTTGCCAATCTGTGTCAATGTGCCACATTATGCGGTGTATGTAGTGCGCATTGCTCCGTTGTATAAGAATCAATATTTTCGAGAGAAGAATAAATCCAATGTGAATGCCAGACAACAAGGATGTTATATGTGTTGCAAGCAACTTTTAAATGAACGACCCATTCGAAGAAAAACCACACACATACATATTCTCAATTTATATGAAAACATACTGTGATTTATAGTGTCTTAAGTAGAGTAAAAAGTAGAAGAACGTCTTAGCATCGTTTCAGCATTCGAATGTTTGTGAAAAATCTTTTACAAATAAATTTGCGCAAAAGAGAGCATTTAGCTCTTATAATTCTATTAGTTGGACTACACAATGTGCATGGCAAATACACTTCGCTGAAAATCGCTTCCAATCTTATTGAATGCAACGTTTTGTGGGATTATAAATCTCGATTTTCAAATACTTTTTCGTCGATTTTTTTTTTTTTTTATTTCGGCCACTTCGTCAGCATTTTCTTCGATATGGTGATCGAAAAGACAAACTTATCTACGAGAGAGAGAGAGAGAGTGACGAAATGCTGAGAGAAAGATTGTAGACAAGTGAAAAGAAATCTTTAATCCTTGGCAATTCGTTGCACTTATGCATGCATCATCATGGCAATTTGAATAGTAGAAGCACATAAAATAGATTTTCTCGTGAAAAACTTTTTTCAATTTTATTTCTATGCTAGTTTTTCTTTTGGTTCTCTCTTCTTTCACCATATGCACACACTACCAATGGTACGATACGAGTTTTAAAGTGGAAAAATTTTCGATTGAAAAGATGCGAGTTTATTTAAATTGTGTAAAATAGCGTTGATTCCATTGTATGGATTCCTATATGAAAAGAAAAAATGAAATTGAACAAAAATAAAACGTCAGAGGAGATGTTTGAATTTAAAGCAGAATGCCCATTTCCGCAATTTGAAGTGAATGTGTTGATGGATGGTACAGTATACGATAGTCCATGATGATGAACAACACAATTGTAATTTCCTTGACGGAAGAAAGTCTTCTTATAGTTGCCGAGAGAATGTCGTCACTTAAAACTGTGGAACCAATGTTAAATGAGATGAATAAACGAAATAGCCATTTTTTTTCTCTCTCGCATTTTGTTTCGATACACTATTAATCGGAAATTGATTTTTTTTCTCCATCACATCACACATTTATTAGTGCCGTTCAGTCAGCATGGGAGACTCGATGATTCTCTTGCTAAATTAAGCGCCTTGCCATTGATTTATGATGAATAACATAAAGGGTTTTGCATCTCACGCATTATTCAAATTCTACACCATCAATTGCAAAGAGCAAAAGAAAAGCAATGAATTGAGTCATCGCCTCATAATAGTCCTATCATTAACCTTGTTGCATTGACGCCAAGCCATTTTACTTTTTATCTACATTTTTTTTATTCGTTCATTTTCTCTTTTCTACATCTTGCTCATACTTTGTCGGTACTAAAGCAATTTTTCTTCGAGCGTGATATTGCACTGTTATTCTTCATTGTTATTGGTGTGGCAAAAGAAGAAATAGAGAAAAATCACAAATTAAATAACGCGAATTATTTGAGCGTGAAAATGAGAGTTGACGAACCAAAACAAAAGCCACACACAGCGTACGAAAACCAGAAAAAAAAGAACCGTACGCTTACCAGCACCCAGACATATTCTTGCATAGACCAAAATCGTAGTGTATTTGTCGCTGTTAACAATTTATCAATATGATATATGGTTACCAATTCGTTTGCAATTTTACCGTATAAATCGGCAGTAACGAGTCAAGCAATGTAAGTCGATTGGTTCATTTATCGATGATGTGAATGCGACTGACATGGCCTGTGGTACGGTTCTTGTATTTCATCTATATGGATACATTGATGTTAACATTGATTCGACACTGTGGTTTATGCAACAACACAAAAAACACAAGTGAAACAACAAAAACCCAAAGCCAATGCGTACAATCATTGGCGAACATTGGAGTGAGAATGCATTTATTGCTTGAATTTATCCAAAGATCGGTTTCGCTATTGCGCGGGTGATAAATAACCGAGTATCTTAAATGGCGCCAATAAACTTTGTGCTCGGTTCTCTTTTTTCTATTCTCTCTTTATTTTCACTGCTATGTAACCATTTACCAAAGTCTTCTTGTCGCTGTGTAAGAAAGAGTAACTGGAGTTTTTCATTTATTTTCCCTGATTTGCTGAGCGAAAATATTCGAGACTATAGTTTAACCACAATTTATGAATATGAGAAAGTTCACAATGGCTTTGAAGTTGACTCCGTAACGGCAAATAAAATAACTAACTGCCATTCGGCGAAAATGTATGTATGTGGTTATTCGTTTTTTCAAGTGGAAAATGTAATCACACTAAACATTTGAAAAAGTTTGAAGCAATTTATTTTTAGTTTTATTTATTTATAATTGTTGACTTTTGTTTTTGAAACGAATAAAATTGCCACTTGTTATTCGTTGAAGTTCAGTCACATTGAAAAATGCTATGCATATATTTATACTCTACGTCGTATACGATTTTTCGTCTCTTCCATTCTATTTTAGTTTGACAAACCAAGTGGTTGCACTCAAGGAGATTAGACTGCAAGAAGAAGAAGGAGCACCGTTTACAGCAATCCGTGAAGCATCGCTGTTGAAAGAACTGAAACACTCGAACATTGTTACATTACATGATATTGTTCATACCCGCGAAACGTTGACATTTGTATTCGAATTTGTGGTAAGTAAAAGAAAACATTTTTAAATAAATAAATAAATAATTTATTCGAATAAATCGCATGCGATAATTATCGATTATATTCATGGCAGAATACCGATTTATCACAATATATGGAACGACATGCGGGCGGCTTGGATCATCGAAATGTTCGGCTATTTTTATTTCAATTGTTGCGCGGTTTATCGTACTGCCATAAACGGCGAGTGCTTCATAGAGATGTAAAGCCACAGAATTTATTAATTAGCGAAATAGGTGAATTAAAGCTTGCCGATTTCGGATTGGCAAGAGCCAAAAGTGTTCCCAGTCACACATATTCTCACGAAGTGGTTACGCTTTGGTATCGACCACCAGGTAATTTGAATTTGATGAACACACAACCGTTTTTGGCTCAATATTTTTGCATTTTACCAATTGGCTATGAAGTCCGGTTTGAATGCAATATTAATTGGCTCAACAACGGATAATAAATGAATGCACGTGATGTGAGTGTTTTATTTACTCTCGTATTTCTTTCTTCAACACTCATCTAGACGTATTGCTCGGTAGTACTGATTACTCAACGTCGCTCGATATGTGGGGTGTAGGCTGTATATTTGTTGAAATGATTACAGGAATGCCAACATTTCCTGGTATTCGTGACACATACGATCAATTAGATAAAATTTTCAAACTACTCGGCACACCGACCGAAGATACATGGCGTGGTGTAACACATCTACCAGGATACAAACCACAGAAATTAGGTAATACAATTCGATTCAACATTCGGCCAATATCATCAAATTGCATATTGGAAATTAATTTATTATCTCTATCTCTGTTACACATCCTACAGGATTTTATCGTCCACGTAAATTAGGCCATAGTTTTCCACGATTGTATGATATTGTTGAGGGTGAAGCGATTGCTACCTTATTTTTACAATTGAATCCAGAAGAACGAATGGGTGCTGAAGATGCATTGAATCATCCATATTTCACACCACTACCACGGAAATTGTTCGAATTACCAGACGGTAATTGTCTAATTAATTCATATTGCAGATTATTGCATGCCTGCTTCCGTCCATTTTGTGGATGCAATCCAATTGACAATTTAATTCAATGCTCTTTTCTTTCTCGTTCACACAAACACACAGAAACATCAATATTCACCGTTGAAGGTGTATATGTGTATCCGGAACCAAATCGACAAAATAAATGAAAATTAATGCACGGCTTGTCATTGGATGGCGTTCGATATTATTGTTAAGAGACAAACAACACACAACGGAGATCAAGTGACAAGCACTTGTAATACAAACACCGAACAAATACCAACCATTGCAAACCGAACCTAGGGACAACAACAACAGAACACTGATTTTGCGGAAAACAGGAACATTTATTATAATTTAATGAAACAACAACAAAAAAAAAGAACCTACAATGATCGTTTAGTCTTATTTTCTATCATTAGAGAAAATTTTATTGAAAAAAAAGAAGAAAACAAATTTACAATGAAAAAATTATTAAATTGACATACACATAAAAGAAATCGAACGATGACACAAAATGGTATAGATACAAAAAAAAATTAATTGTGAGAATCAAAATGCCAATCGATAAGCGCCATCAATACAACTAGTTCAGCAACATATAGTGACAAAAAAAACACTTAAAATATGATGAATTAAAAGAAAATCAACAAACAAAAAATCACTAAAAAAATTTAAATAATTGAATTATATAAAACTAGCATCAATAACACTAAACTATTAACTAAAAAAAAATTTGGACAACCAACACATTTAACTAAATCACAACTAAATAAATAAACATTGTAATAGATCTAAAACAAAAGAAAACAAAACAAATTATATATATTTAAATGAAGAGACGAGAAAATGAAACGCGTTTAATTATAAAATCGTCTCATCGTAACACTTCAAATGAGCGCAGCGGCTTCGTACATTTTGAATAGCAATTTTGTTTAAACGAAGTTTGTAAACGGAAGTATGGAAATGATGATTTAAAATAAAAAGCTAATCAAAGTTATATATGAATGACGTCCACTTTTTAAGTATAATTAAAAGAAAACTAAAGAATGAAATTCATTTCCAATCTTTTAGTAAAAGTTATTCGTCCGAAATTCGGCATTTATTTCATATTCGTTTTTGTTTTAATTTGATGAAAAAAAAAACATTTCTTTTTTAGAATAATTCCTCAGCGCACTCGTCCAATGCCGTTTTCATTTTAGCATTAATAAACGATGATAAACCGTTTCGCGTGCGCCCATTTGAATATGTTGCCGACCAAATATAAAATGTTGAACGAAAATTGAAATTAAACGAACCACAATATGCATTTACACATGCATTCAATTTGGTTGAGTACATTTACGGGCGAGTTTAATCAAAAGTGAGGTGGATATGCTTGTAGAGAGAACTAAATGAAATGAAAACCGACAACCAGAATCATAGCTTCCGGCGGTGGCGATCCAAGAGAGATTAATTCCAAATTTCCCAAAAAAAATGTCAAGGGGTAATTTGGTCTCGCAAAAATAAATAGATGGCCTAAAAATAACCCAGAAAATCGGAAGAATATCTCCCATTTCGAAAATTGATGACCAAAACAGGTCTTGTCACTTTTGAATTCATGACAATTTTTCGCACATTTTGTAAAGGGGAAATTTCAAAATCCGCTCTCCAATGGAGGTAATCCTACACCTCGAGCCACTACTCAGAAGCTATGATCAGAATAGTAACATCTAATCTATGTAAATGAATAAAAAAAAAGTTGTGTGATTTTGATATTGAGAAAAAGAAAACAAAAAATATTATTGTAAATGAACGAAAGACAGAACGAGCGAAATGGAACAGAGAGAGAATGGATTGAAAGAGTGAGTGAATGAATAATAAAAAATAAAAATAAAACTTAAAAAAATTTAGTTGGGATTGTTTCGTTTTCCTGCATTAAATGAAAAAAAAAAAAAAACAAATTAATTATTATCGTATTTTGCGCAGTTTAACTGAGACTTTTAACGTAAACATGGTTTCCTCTTATATTTTGTTGTTCACACATAATTGAACAACAAACCAAACTTATACAGTTAATCAAATGTTCTGTTTTGTTTTGATTTTATTTTTCTGTTTAAATGTCGAACGATAATCGTATATCGATTGTTTTTTTTTTTATGTTTTCTTTTTCGATGATATTTTGAATTTTCTTTGTTTTTATTTCGATTTTAGTTTTCTTTTATTAGCATATGGCAGAATCATTCTGGTGGAAGTTGAGAAAGACTGGTTTATTATTGTGTTGGAATAAAAGTGCCATTGCATGTGTTATTTTGACAATTTTTTAAGCAAAAAAAGGAAAGCCTAGTAGATTCGGAAGAAAATAAGTTTTTTTTGCTCTACAGACTTTAGATGAAAAAGTTTATCGAAATTTACGCTTTTTGTAATGGTGGTTAATTCATGCCACCAATCAAATCATTCAAAAAATATATATATAATGCTTTTTCATAGATAAATAACCAGCAATAGTTTGTTTTTTCATACAATAGCTTAACAATTTTTAAACATCAACTTGCCAAATCTAAAGTTCTTCTCTTTTTTTTATACATGAATTTCGTTAACTTCATTTCCAATGCAAGAAATATCAAATAAAGTGCAATTCATTCATTTCCTTTTTTTGCTATTCGACGTGACTGTGAACCAGATTCCAGCTGAGGATAATTTGGACTTCTCATTCGTGTGAAAAAAAAAAATCATATCGAACGTCAGTATCCGAAAATCCGAATTGGGACAAAATTTATATGTAATTGTTCAATTTTCTTGGCTCAAAATGCATTTCCACATTTCACATCAGAAAAAAACAAAAATCTTCCAATTTCATTGAAAATTTATATCGTTTTTTTTCTCTAATTTTCTTCCACTATTTTCCACTAGCATTTCCATTCTGCTGAGCATCATTCACTCTTGCTTTAAATTCACTGTTTTTGTTACGTTACATCTGTTTTCATTTTTTTTTCTAAACAAAAAATAAATAAATACTAATATTTTAATATAAAATGTGATATTTAAGGAGAATGAAACAAACAGAAAAGTTGAAAAGAATTATCGAAGTATTTTATATGTATAAATCAGAATAGAAATAAACGAGATAAAAGAAATTTAAACGTGAAAATGTTTAAAACAATACACAAACTACAAAATATGCGTACGAAGATTAACAACAACAAAAATCATCAACAACAATGAAAGTAATGAACACACTTTCACATTGAACACGTATTCTCACTGAATTGATTTTGTTTTTATTTCTCGAATTTCATACAAATCTAAAAAAAATCTTGCACCATTTGAAAAAATGATTAAATGTTATTGTACAGCAAAACATAGCTTAGATAAAAAAAAACTATTCCTTTTAAATAAATTTCAAATGAGACAAAAAAAATATGAATACTAAACAAAAGAAAAGACAACCACACATTTTTCATCAAAGCATTAAGCCAGAGATGCAGAACTAATTGTTAAACATTTTAAGAGAATCGAGATTATCTCATAAACATAAACTTACAAAAAAAAATGAACTAAATAAATAGAAGAACAACCACAACAAAAATTGATTAACAAAAGGAAAATCATTACGATTACATCAATTGATGATAAAATGATCGAAGCAGCGAAATACACCTACACAATATGTTAGATATCGAAGTGAAAATGGTGAGAGAAAAAAAAAGAATCGTTTTTCCGTTCAATCTGAACCAAAAGTTATGAAATCTAATGATTTTTGATTTCTAGATAAATAGTAGATTGTAGACGGTTTCCATTACCTGTTTTTTTTTTATCTAAACGTTTACTTTTTTGCTTGCGAATAGAGGTCGTTCAAGACACCTTTGAATAACAACAAACAAATAAATAAAAATAAATGAAATTGTAGACAAAAAAAAAAACAAAAATACTAAATAAAATTGAAATAAATCGAATCGAATCGTATTTAAATATTTCAAACAAACAAAAAACTCTCTAAAACAAATTTTGAATAAAACTATTGCGATATTATAAATGTGAAAATTGTGGTGGATACAGATAGATATTGGACTGTAGCAAAGATGATGACAACGGTGACCACGATATGATGATGACGCAAATCACATTTTTTCCCATTTGTTATATCCATTTTCTTTTCATTTGTTTCGATTTAAAATCGTCAAATTTATTAAAATGAATTTGCTCATCGGGGTGAAACATTCTTTGCATCGTACGCCCAATATTTGTGAACACACACAAATAAAAATAAATTTGAAAGAAACAAATATATTTAATGGATTCAATTGTTGAAATAGAAAAGAAAACACTCACATTTTATGAAAATGAAAGATCGAAAGCAAAAAAAAATGAGAAAATCAAAATCATTGCACCGAAATGTGAATTTATAAAAATGTTGTGCTAGAAAAAACATGTGGCATTTATATTTATCACTCTGCTTCGCTGTTTTCATTTTCATTTTGTGTCTCACACTTTGTTTACTTGAACGAAACAAAAACAAAACCGTTTTGCATGCGATTTAACCACTTGTAAAAGAGACCAATTTTTTGATTTCCCGTTGAATTCGTAGAATTTTGATACCATTTTCTAAATCAAACAAAATACATGCTTAACAAGTAACAAAAAAAAAATAATTAAACGATATCGATGTTTGCGATGCCGTCAATTTCCACGTTCATTCAAATCTCTTCTTAAACTTTGTCTTCGAACTTCCATTGAAATTTTTGTACCTTCAATTCGATTTTATGCTGCTCTTTATGTTATAGGAAAATGACATTTTCTTTTTCTTTTTCTACACCGAACGAAGATCAAATAGTTGCAAAAGAAATCAATTAAATCTCTGTTATACGTAGTGAATTTAACCGGGCTGGACCAAATGAGTTCGAACCGATTTACACGGATCGGACGCACTATTTCAAATCGTTTGGATCCCAGCATTTGATTCAATAGAAAAATTGTTTTTTCATTTCTTTAAATGAAACAACAAAAACAAAAATAACCAAAATGGAATCTAAAAGAAGTAAAAATATCATAGATCCCCCTTTCACCATACAAAATAAACTAATGCTGTTACATAGCAGATGGAAAAACAATGGATTATTAGAACACTTGAAATAAACACTATGCAAATGTTTTTTTAGAAGGGAACATTTTTAGAATTTTAGAAAAGCTATTTTAAATATGGTCTCACCGAAACAATCAATGAGTGTAGAATATACGTCATTTTGTTAGCTGTGAAATTTTGCGGGATATATCGCAATGACATTTCTAATTCAGTGTTCAGCATTTATCATTTACCAATACATCGTACAACTATATCCGTCTTTTTATATTCACACTCATTTGTTTGTTTTAATCGAAATATAATGAAATTCGTGTTCAGTTTTCTTTGCATATCTCTTATCCCAAAGTATCAATAACATTCATTCCGTTTGACATAAGGAACCATTTTCTTTCTTAAAGTGTCTCCAACATAGCGAATTAATCAAGTAGCGAATCAAAAATAATTTATTTAGATAAAACGATAGAGAAACAAATATAAAATTTCCATAAAATACATAACATTGATAATTTCTTCTTTTCCATGTCGTCACAAATACAAACAAACGACATATGACCACCAAATAAAAATCATAATGAGCAATTTTTCGGCCGTTCACTAAATTTAGTGGTTAATTTAGTGTCGAATAAAAATTTCAATAAACAAAAATATATTAGAATTTTCCATGAATATTCGCCTTTTTAAATTTACCACTAAATTTAAAATCAACACGTCAATTATATTGTAGATGATTTTTGGATTGGTTATAATCTCAGCCTCACTTGAATCAATCGTTGCACTGTTTGCATATTTTTTTCTTCTCTCAATCACATCCAAAGTTCACCAAAAATCCAGACGAATCGAATGAACTTTTCGGAACAACATCGAACAACATTCTGTCGAATGAACATTTGTTCTGAAAATGGATGTTGAATATACGGCTTCTTCTTGCATTGCACGCACATTTTCTGTTATAGACAACCATTTGTCGCATGTTATATCGTGTTGGATTTTCAATAACAAATAATGGCGAATACGAATTAAAAAAAAGCAACAACAACAAAAAATGAATAATTTTTAATGGAATAAAAATGAAATTTGTTTTAAATGCACGACCCATCCCGAATATTTCGTCCATAGTTTTTAAGAGCACAGATCATATTGTTTGCTACATTTGACATTGAATTACAATATTGAACACACACACATAGCCATACACAACAAATCATTTGCAACATGCAAATAAACTCGCGAGAGCAAAAAAAAAAATCACAAACGCAATGATTGTTTATACAACGTATAATTTGCGGAAATCTAATTTTTACTATTCATCGCACTTTTTTACATTTTCTTTGCTATAATCGTTTTATTTGTTTTTGATATTGAAATTGCAAAATGAATAACCACAAAAAAGAAGATGATCAAACTAACTTGATTTAGTTCAAAATAGAATGTCTTCGACGAATTAAAAAAAGGATAAGAAACTTATACTATCAGAATTTTATGTGATTCAAATGAAGATAAGATGAAATATGTATAATTTATATTAAAATAAATTTGAATTTTGTTTTTCTACGTAAATGATTCATGGGCAACAAAACAAATGAGATCACATACACACATTTAAAAGGTAAAAGATTCGCGTTTTTAAACTGTTTTTCATTATGTACATATGGATTATATTTTAAACGATTGAAGTATACATGCAACACACAGAGAGATAGAGAGTGGGAGAGAGGAAGAGAATGTGAGATTACAGAAAAAAAAAACAGTTTATATACAACATGATGTGTTTGCACGGCAAATTATGAGAATGACGCGATGAGATGAAAATCAAAGAAAAACAAAACAGACAACAAGATAAAATTAAATAGTTCAATAAGGAAATTGATTTTTCGAAAAATTACAAAAATGAAAATCTGAATTAAAAAAACAAAGAATAAATGTGTCTTTGAGAAAAGAAAAACAAATAAAAAAAATAAATTTAAACGAACCGAGTTTTATTCATATAACACTTTCATTCACAGCTATAAATTTGGTCATTTCATTCAAGAACTTGTTCAATTGAAGTGAACATAAAACGGATTGGTCTTATAGACATTCTTTGTGTAACAGGATTTCATAGTGGAATAGGATTTTTTTCTTATAGCATACAATACCGATTTTGGGGTCAGCGCCATCTGTCGAACATGTTTTAATTTATTTTTACCGATTTCACCGTTATCGAGAGAAAGTCCATTTCGAATGAAATAAAACAATTAAATACTCGAAAATTGA